CTCTCGCCTCTTACCTCACCTCTAGCATCCAACTGGACCATCTCAGCATCCAGTTGGACCATCTCAGACCTAAGTAAACGAAGAATAATTTATAATAAATTGTCGTGTCGTTTGATTTTGAAACGATTTCACCGACATTAGGTGTATGATCATTATGGCGACGAGCATCGTTCATTGTATCCAATCACGCGACAATAAAATACTGGCAACGCTTTTGGGGGGTGAAATGTGCGATTTCCCGTGCTCGGGCCCGAACCGTCGTTATAATATATTGCTATAGTTTTGACAAAACAATACGAAAACATAGTATCTCCGGAGCGCGACTAAATAATTTGTTATATTTCTGATCGCAGAGTACACATTTGCCGGTGTCGTCTCGCGATGATAATCACTTTTTGGCGTCTATATAGTGATTTTTCAACCGAGGGTGGTCGCGCCAAAACGCCTGAATATCCTATAATGTACCAATACATGACTATGCTGCAGTCGTTTTATACAAATGACCCGCCGTTTCCTCCGGCACTTTTACCAAGTCGTTATGCCAGAGAGAGACGGTTATAGAAAACGTTTATAATTGGCAACTTATATACATTAGGCGGTTGTTGTCGTTGCGACCGTCGCTTGATTAATACAACGGACAACACCCTCTCTCTCGGTCCGGGAAGAGATAGTGCCGGCAATACGGAGACGGGAAACCCGGTGCCGGGTTTGACTTTGACTGAAGACCGTGCGACATCCGGACCGGGTAATTCGCCTTTACCATAATAATATTGTACACACACTCGCACATACAGACAGAGGCCGCGTGGGTCTCGATGAATCGAACGTGCGCCGCGGCGATCGCCGATGAGTCACACGTGTGTGTTGCGAGACATCATCGTCGGTGGATAAAAAAAAAATGAATTATAATAAAAAACACGGTTCACATGATTATCATCATCATTGACGTTCGACATGATGTAATAGTAGCGAGTGCGGTATCTCCGGTTCGCGTTGAATATATTATCATCATTGTGTAGAAGAACAATAGCGGTTAGGTTTTGTTAAACATGAGTTTTTTTTTATCGGCGCTGGTAATTTTTTTTGGTTTTCTAACTTGGCGTTTTTATACTTGTTGCCAAATTCCAAAAAAAATTCCACTCACCCTTACACGAGATAGGTAATAATAATCGTCTCCTATAATTGGCATATAGACGGTTTTCCCACGCACACGGATAAAGCGCCCTGCCGCTCCGATAAGTACACTTTGTTTTTGGTTTTGAAACAATATACTTGCAAATTTCGACAGTTGCAACGCGGATTATTTTTTATACATAAACGCATACGAGCGAACCACTCGATGTGCGCTCACGCTTTATACAAAACACTTGGAGTATAACAAGTATGACAATGTACTAATGCAATTTACATTTTTTTTTTTTTTTTTTTAGACACAGGCTATTACTGTGCAAATATAAAGTAGGTATACATGTATACCTACGTATCCCTTGCCCTCATTTTACAAACAACGCTAAAAGCTTTTTACTCAAAGTCGTGTCTTTGATTCCGCTCGCGGTGAGTGTATAGTGTGCTTCTTCTTGCTTTTTTTTTTATACATGTATATACACAATATATTTGTACAAGTCCGATCGTAGTCGACTTTTATTCTTGTCTTCTCTCCCCTTGTTCGCTGTTGACAAGCTTGTTTTATTTCATTTAAAATGGTTTCTACATACTTGTAATGGGGTGGAGTATATATACATAGCGAACATCTCGTTTGACATAATATTTGACGGTACACCCTCTGGTTGAAGGACGGACGGTAAACCTCTATATAATATTTGAACAATATAATAATTCCTTTTCCGGGATTTCCAATTGTTTACAATATCCTATTTGACATGACCGTAAAAAACACAGCACTACTTGTACGGTAGGGTTGGCGGCTTGTCGCAAAAGAAACCGAACACAGGCTGTACCTGTTAACCGAACCCAATTTGATATCGACAAGTCAGTACACCGAATCGGTTAGGTCAAAATGCATTGTATTACATATAAATATATTTTTTGAATTGACTGTATCCGACAGCTGACAATATAAGTCGGTATAAGGCGAATGGCGTTCTCATATTTTGTCACAACCGCATAATATACAGCTGTCATTATACCGAGATTGAAAGCGCAATTTAAAAATATTGATATTTTCTAAATGTTTTGTCGAGGTTTGGTGGAAAATAATAGAGGATAGATGTTTTGAAAATAATTCACATTTTATATCATATTAAAACAACCTAAGAAACATTTTTTATATTTAATTATATCGGTCAGACCTATTGCGGTCAAATGTTTCTTTTTTTTAGAAATTTATGTTTGCCAATCAAAACCGTTTACATGTTAGAACAAAATTTAATTAAAACTAATTTCGCTGAAGTGTCGTATCGGTAATTTGCACGGATTCCAATGTTTGGCGTTTATGTGTAGTTTTTTTAGGTTCTCTATTGAAATGTCAAAATAAGCGTGAACGGCCATCGAAAAAAAGGGGTCGACCCTTCGACGAATGTTTTGGTCACCGGATCGAGGGGGAGGGGGGATTGGATTCGATTTTAATCAGCGGTTGCCGCGGACGAATCCTAATGGAAATGACAATAATTGACACGGTGGCTGTGTATAGTAGGTAGCAGAAGGTTTTTTTTACTATTATTTTTTTTTTTACTGACCACAAAGGCTCACAGCTACAATGTTGTCGACCGGAGAGTGTACACCGGTCGAGCTCGAGGGCAGGGTGGGTGGCAGGCGAGTTTGTCTGGCGTTGTTTGTATACAATATTCGAATGCAGCCCATTAAACACTGATTAACATACACGGGACAGGGAAAACGGACTGCAGGATAAAAAAAAATTTGATTAAAAGTTGTGTCAACACAAGAATATAGCAGTGGACAAAAAGGCCCTGCACACATCCGGCAAGCTTTTACATAAATTATACATAACGCGCGCGCCGTGCTGACCCGGCAACAGCGTGGTCGGGTATAGTAATTAATAAAAAAAAAAAAAAAAAAACCTACAGACTAATTTTCATTATTCAATATCTCGCTTCTGAAATTCCACAGTTTGCTTACCTGCCGTGTGTTGTACTTGTGCATTTTAAATTTGGTAATTCCGGTATATACTTAAAAGTATGTCCGAGGCAGTAGGCGTCATCGGTTCTAGAAAGCAAACAACGCGTTAATGCATTATAAACACACACACACGAGACGGTGACGTTTTGTTGGGAATTATTATTTTTTTATTTATAAACGCTTTTTTTAGGTTTTGTTTTTTGGTTCTAACACGGACCGGGGCGTGTTACCGCGGGCAATATTTGTTTTCCGGCGCGGTAAGTGCACGCCAAGACATTTTGGACGTATTACCGCCAAGGGGATAATGTCGTTATGCTGTTTAATGCGCTTTAGGGGACCGACAATAATATAATAATTGTCCGGACAACTTTTGACCGCATTTGTATTCCTGTTTAGTAACCATTAAGCGCGTTGTACACAATGGTGTTATATTATGCGTGTATAGGTATAGTCGTCCACGATAATATACAATTACTCTTGGCTAGTATATGTACACTTATGTACTCACTCAAATCGAGCGCAAACCCATCACAATAAACGTGCGCCTTATTTGTATACAATCCATCGTATACAAACAGTTTACATCGATCCTCCTCCTTATTCCGTCCGCTTCACGTCGCTAATCGAAAACAATATCAATTCGCTATTATACAAACGGGATGTTCGTTGCCGGAGTGGTTTGAGTACTGCATAAAAAGAGTACCACATATTGCATTACCACAACAGCACAATATAATAATTAGTATTGTTTTCCCCTCCCCCCGACCCTTTGTTGGATCAAAGGAAAACGGTGTGATTTAAAAAATTACCCCTGCCATGATGTTTGATGTCGGACCAAAGACAATTATTACTTAACATTTATAATTTGATAAGAAAATAAATATTTTACCTAAAACCTTGCTATCAGAGTTTATTAAAAATTTTAGGGAAGTATTTCTATCTATCTTCTTAAGATTAGATTGGTTGTGTTTCTCCGGTTTCATCGTTTTTCCAAACGATTGCAGCGCGCACTTATTACACTGCTATCGACTGCATTGTGCTGATTTTTTTTTTAGTTCTGATTTCAGCAGTCGGTAAATAGCCGTAAGTGCGAAGTGGCTAAACGATTTTTGGGGTTTACCGAAAGCACCAGAGTTTAATCCCGGCCGTTGTTGTAGCAGAAGCTCTGTCGTCCAATCAGCGCAGTCGTCGTTATCATCAACGTCAAATATTGTCCTGCCGAGGTTTTTACGACGGACAATTGGGAAAACAGCCAAGTGGACGTATTTCCGGATTACGGGAGAGGAGCAGATCGAGGGAATTGTATGGCCGAGTGTGTGCCGTGACAAGAAGAATTTAATCTTGACGACAAAAATCCGGTGGAAACGTACACTGGAGTTCTTGAACGTAATCGAATTTACGAGCACCTTTTAAGTAAGTAACGCGCCGGATCTTCGGGGGAGGGTTTAAGATCCCGGCGGGACCCTCGTCGCCGTGTCCAGAGGTCCCTTGGAAAAATAACACAAGTTATACAGTGTTTTTCAAACACGGAAAGCTGTTAACAAACAGCTGTTGATATATATTTTGTAGGTACATTAAAAAACCATCTTACACACGGTCACAATAATGCCGATTGGCTTTTGTACAATTATGTGTACAGTCATCGGTCAACATGATTTTGATTAAAAAAAAATATATATATATATGGTTTTCGACACAATACAATATAATAATTACCGTAATATGTCCTCGCCTAGTTTATTAAACATCAATATATATTTTGTCATTATTTGTACAGTGTGGGAAAGATCAGATTAAACAGTGAAATCTATTTTATTAATTTGATTAAAACGTTATTGGCGCATATTGTGGCGTGTACACCTGTTAGACACGATAAACATCTGCGGGCATCATAAAATATAAAGTGTCCACATACACACACACATCTATCGCACCGGACGAAATTGCTTTTTAATTATGTCACGGTACACTAGACCCTGTCTGCAGTGCCTGGTGATAACATCATCATAATTCTTCCCTTCCAGGTATGTTTACAATTATTATTACTGTTACTTTTAATAGTAATTTGTTTGATAGCGCTCGTAAAACTCACATTAGGTATAATATTGAGTTCCGATCAATACATACGCCATTCTCACACGGTACGTTTTAATAATAATATATTTTCATAGAAATCCTCTGCAAATGTTTTTAATATTGACACAATATGTGTTCATCGTGTTTGGTAGGAAATCGTGGGGCTTACAAAATGATATTGGAAAATCAAAATTTAAGTTCTCCTAGATCCAATAGTTTTTAACATAAAATATCATCAAACTTGATTTTTTCCATTTTAAATAATGAATATTCATAATTCTTCCGAGCTCTAAATTTCTAAAATAAAATAAAATAAGTTATTAGAATAATATTAACATTAACAATAATATATTACAGTCAAAAATGGGATAATACATATGTCACTGACTGATTTTATTATTTTATCGTTGCTTTATTTTGAGAACTTTTTTCACACAAAATCATGTGTGATAGTCCAAAGGTACTGAAAAAATGATTTTAAAGATCCAATGATTTGAAATCGTACCAGACTCAAGTGTCAACTTTTAGTGGCTATATTGTGTGAAATGAATAAAAAACTTGCTATATTTTTCCACTATCTTGCGGTGACCACCTCGCTGTCACGCGCATCGGTGGGGTCGGCCGATTCAAATATTATAATATCTGAGCTATACAAACTACAAAGTAGGGGAATAAAACAAAAAAGGATGGACAGCGCGTGGAATAATATGTTATTTAATTAATGCTTCGGAAATGTCAATAGCCGCGGGACGAGTGAAATCCTGAATAATATCACAGCACAAAGTCTGTTATTATTTGCATTTTGCCGTTTCGTTTCACTTTGTCATACTCATCATCATCATCATCATCAGCAGCAGCAGCAGCAGCAGTGTACCTAGTACGGATCATTGTCAGTAATATACACAGCACAACTGTATATATAACCTACACCCTGGGGTAATAATTAATTAATAACACGGTTTCAACTTTGGCGGTGGCGTGCAAACGTCATCGAATCGATTATGAATGATTATGCACGGCCAGTTGAATATTGTTTGATTGTGTATACAATGTATTGTAGACTTTGTTTGATGTTGTTGATATTATTTATCCTCTGTGGTCTCTGTGCTGTGACACCGGACGTTCCATTGCCCGCGAGGATTCACTGCCGACCCTATACCCTCGGGACACACCTTACAATGTACCTAACAGAATGTAATAAATTATACAAATAATTGTTATAATTAAGCTCGATACAAACACGTCTTACGCAGCAATCAACGGTGAACACTGACGTTGGCTCAAAATAAATAGACTTTATTTTAATCTAACAAAATGTATTGCCTATAGAATATTATGCCCATCAAAACTGAGAATACAATCGTTCAGTTGACTACTTTCATGTTCATTTTGACACCTAAAGCTAGTAATTAGTTATAATTCAAAATTCAATATAGTGTATTTATATTGTATCGAATAGAAAAGTGACCGCTAATAGTTTAATAATACAAATGCAGATTCAATAAAATATATCGTTAGGTTAATATTTGAATGAATTGTTATTTACATAACAGACATGCCTAATAAAAAATGCTTAAAGAGTATTAAATTCGATTTTAATGGTCGGACTTGTTTGCACATAAGTTGACCGTAGTGGGTAATGAACTAATTCATAAAAAATATTTTTAAAAAACCGCCCAAGGAACTTTTATCAATGAACGTCTCCGGGAATATTTTCCAAGTAAACCCGCTTAGTTTTTTTTCATTTTTTATAACTTGAGGGTATTATGAAATGCGGGGAAAAAATGACTACTACAATATAATTTTCTTTTGAAGTCTTTGTCGTGTGACCCGGAAGGGTTGTAACCCTTTTCGCTGCTATTGTATCACTAAGAGTATGTATAAATAATTCTCTGTGTGCCACGGTCGTCGCCGTGGCATCGTCGGGTTTTAATCTTTTTTACACTTAATCCAATAGTTAACATTTTTTTTTCTATTTTGTGTTTTATAATTTTATTTACTTTATTACTTATAAAAACTTAATCGTAAACCACTAGAAAGTTGTCAATAAATTCTGTAATAGCTAATGCCAAAACTATGCCATCATGAAAATAATTTCAAGATTTGGATTAAGACAATAACATATTTTAGAAATATTAACATTCTCAGCAGCATTTTAGATTAAATTAATATTAAATAAAGAATTCATCATTAATAATTAATAAATAATGTATAATAATTATAGATATGTTAAGTATATGTGTGTTTAAAAAACTTTATGTCACTTTTAAAATGATAAAGTACTTTTAAATTATTTTATTGAATTACATTTTTAGCTGAATAACTAAATATATATAGTTGTCTAATATTTGATTTGAACTTGTGAATCCATCTTATTCTTCTTACTGACTTAATGGAAAACCGTTATCTGCAATAGTGTGCCACAGTAACTAAAAAAAAATAATAATAAAAATAAATTGTTAGAGATGAATTCATAGAAATTAACTAAATTATTGCAAACTGATGATCTTATATATTTTACCTTAAAATAAAACACCTATAAATTTACTGAAAATTGAATACCACAACATTCGACAATGTATTGATGGAATTAGTTTAGACTGATTGACTACAATAATATAATACACCAAATTTGACGTTGGTAGTAGTGTAGTTGTAGACAATAACAAATATCAATTTAAGTTGAGATAGTCCATATTAATATTGAACATACTGAAACATATAATTAAAAAAATTAAATAAGTTTCTTAGATACTTAAATAATTATATGGTTAAGCAACAAATATCAGTATACACATATATTTTTTATAATTATACAAGTATGATAATTTTTAAGTTAAACGTTAATTTTTAAGTAACGCATTTTAATTAAACATATTAAGTATGATAAACATAAGTAATCCAAAAAAACTTATTATGTAAAAACATTTTATATGTTCATGAATAATAAAAAACGATTAATTATATTTTTCTAATAAAAAAATGTACTTATACAATACACCTATATTAATAAATACATTATCTTACCTATTATTGATTCAGTAAATGATGATTGAAGATTCAATTTTTTCATAAAAAATTTTATATTTTTTCTTTGAATTCAGATACCAATATGTTAAAACACAAAACTACACATTTATAAGTTTCTCAGAACAAAGACATAATACTGTAAAAATAAAAGTTTTAATTAAAATATCATCAAGCATAATTCAAATTACTCTATTTATTTTAAATAACATATTATTATTATAAGTACCTTTAATTTTGATATTTGATGTGCATACATTTTATAAGTAAGGTTTTAGGTTTTATAGACTTGTCACTTGAGCAAAACTCCATCTTGGTATTCACATTGATTATGGATATTTAATATCAATGTTATTATTTAAAACACAATAAATGTTGACAAGTTCATAGATCTAGATCTAGTAAGTTATGATACTATATTATTATAATATACTATGAAATTAAGACGTACAAATCGCATGAATAAACAAAATGTGTCAAATTAACCAAAACAAATAATTGCTAAATGCTGGAAAAATATACACAAGGTATTGATAACAAATTAAACATACCTACTATTTTACAAAATAAATGTAAAAGTGTGTAGTGGTGGTATATTTGTCAGTCGATATAGCGGTTATCATTATTATTTACTATCGGTGAATTATTTACCTAAAGTAAATAGTGTTTGGTACGGTTATGATTTTTAAACGCTACAATAGCTATTGTCAAAGTTAATTGTCAATAAATAATAACAGAGAGCAGTCACATTAATATGTTAGCGTCTCCAAGATATTTAATTTATTTTTTACACTCCCTTTAATTTTAAAACTGTGTAGCTCGTTAACTACTCAATCGATTTACCTAGTTTTTACGCCTAAAATTAAATTTAAAAAAAATAAACACGATCATCAAAAAAAAATTGGGGGTTACCATTTAAAAATCTAAAGTTGATATGGTTTTAACGCATAAGGGATGGTGTTAAAATTTTGAAAAATACATTAAATTTGTCCCACCTAATAACTATAATAGTACAAAAAAAAAATAATTAAAAAAGTCTAATATCTTCTAAGATATTGACTTCGGGTTGTAAATTTTTCAAATAAAACCCCTTCGGCCGTTTTCAGCAATTAAAAGCTCAAACAACACCAAAGTCTCTATACTGGTGTCGGCGTGTGCGCTTTAGTTTTTTAATTGAGCGTAATGCACTGGAAAAAAAAATGACAGTCTGTACAGCGGCGTCTTCGATCCACCCTTTGTGCGGTTTATTTTTTCACCATTTAGTCGCATCCTATACTATGTTATTGATTTATACTATTATTTAAGTTTCAACCGTGAAGGTATTGTCTTTAATAATGATGTGTAAATAATAATGGAAATGATAATATTTATTTTACATTTATGTATATTTTAAAAATAACTAAAATAGCGTTTTGTGTTTATTGCATATTTTTAAAAATATATTTTTTTTAGTAAAACTTTGATATTTTATTAGTGTTGTAGTTTTTTTTTATTAGTTTTAAGGCTTCAACAACACACGATTATATCAGTCCAAAGTAGATAGGCGTACTGTTCTTTAGTTTATTTTAGTTATATATTTTTGTTGTGTTTACTCCAATACACCTATCAAAATATCGACTTACTTAAATCAATATAAATTGTCTGTGAATTAGATTAACCGTTGTTTGAACGTTTGATTGAAATACTTACAGTTTTAATAAAACGGTTTTAAAAAAAAATCAGCATAAAATATTATAACACGCATATGTGTTCTAGACAAAACTTAAACAGCAATATTGGTTTTACTTGTGTAGGTATATAATAAAAAAAATTTGTCTGCATTTAATATTTTTAAATTAAAATTGTTTTTATTTTTACAACTTGTTTATGTATTGTGCTATTTCGAGCTAAAATAATAAGTTCTTTTAAAATGACATTTCAAATTTTACATCGGTTAAATATTGCCGTATAGAGCCTTTGATAAGAAAAATGGTGTCAATAAAAAAAATTAATATTTATAGTTTACATGCAAACAAATTAATCAGTTTTAAAATTCAACTACAACGATTTTATGACAATAGGTTTACCTATATCGATAAAATTCTACTGATTTATATTACAATTTTTATATTTGATAAAATTCAACATTTGAATGAAAATAAATAAATAAAATCTTTTCCTACCCAATTAAAATAAACATTATTATCTTTTTGACTATATATTTTTCTTTTTGGATGTTATTTTGTAACTTTTTTCTTAACAATTTTAAACTTATAAAACTAAAATTGTAAATTATAATTTATTATTTTCTTAAGTTTCTTTCAGAATATAATTAACTTTTTTATTCAAATTGGCTCTAAATCTATCATGAAGCGTGGAAGATAAATGATAATGGAATGTTCCCGTTATCTTTCCGGCATAGAAACTTAACAGACTACCCCCCACGTATGTCGAATTTAAATAGTTTGGAAGTACCTAAGTACGGTCACACAGCATGTATATGATTCCAGAAATAAAATGCGCAATTTTCCAACTCGCCATATAAGTGTAAACAGTATTTTTTGAAACCGTATTAATATACAAAGTGAAATGACTTTTAGAAATCGAATTAAAACTTAGAACGTATGAAAAAGTCAAATGTTGAGCAAATAAAAAACTAAAAGGCACATTCCCACGTCTCCACAGAAACCGCTTTCAAATATGTATATTTTCTTTAGTTTAACATCGCCTTTATGGAGGCTAAAAGGCCGTCTTTTGTTATTGTATTTAGAAACTAATGAGATTTATTAGAGAAAATATACAAATATATACGGTTGGTTAAAGTTTAAATTCTACTCATTGCAGCAATTTTTATTGCTCGAATATTAAAAAAAAAAACAAACCTTTTCAAAGATGGATTTTGAAATAAAAAATGAGGGGGGAGGAGGTTCAATAACAAAAACAGTTATATTAATTCTAAAAACTCAAATTTTCAACATAAAAACAAATAATCGTCTTGTTCTTAGCTTGTTTTTTCGAAAGACACCTGTTTTTACTTGTTTAAATTGCAACAGGCATTGTAAACTAGATATTCTGTAAATGTGGATAACGTTAGGTCTTGTACGTTATTCAACTTCTTTAGTACCTACACTGTCGTGGTGTTAACTTGAAATCTTAAAACTTAAGCCACATCCATTGTTAATCTTTACACAATTATTACGGATCTTAAACATGAATATCAGAAGCATCATTGTAATGTTATTCGTTATTTTGGCTATAACTACAGGTAATAAGCATAAGCAAAAAGTTGAAAACAAATTTGAAGCCTAAAATGACTTAAATGCCTAAAATGCATTACTGACTTACTTAGTGTTTGACCTTTATGAACATTAATCCAAAAGTATTAGTGTTAAAAATAACATTTTTCAATCTATTTTATTAGGTACAACGATTTAGTCCAGAAAATAAAATATTTTTAGTTTATAGTCTAACAAATTAATTTGGGAAATAGTAACTTAAATAAACAAATTTCCCTAAGTGAGAATCATAGGGAAATTTATATAATCACATGTGCACTGATTTTTTTATATATTACACACAATTATTTTTCATGTTTCAGCTGTTATTGGGCCCGACCGTAAGTTTTAAATTAAATTGTACTATTTATAGAAAATTTAATTATGTTTAATGTTTCAGCTGATTATGCACCCTACCGTAAGTTATAAATTAAACTGTACTGTTTTTCTGTGGTGCTTTGATTTCAAAGCTCTGATTGTTATGACTTTGATACATTTTTGTTATTCGTTTTTGTACATATTCGAATTTAATATATAATATTTTTTTCGTGGATTTTGTTGGCTGATCATAAATTACAGAACGTAGTACGAGATATAACTAGCAGTATGTCATTTTTTATTTTCAATGTTTCAGGAAAACCAGACACAACACCAGCACCACTCCCAAACCTACAAGGTAGGCCATGTAGGAAAAATAAAACTTAAATAAACAAATTTCCCCAAAAAGTAAAATCTCAGGGAAGTTTGTATATTCGTTCGCTTGTTATTTTTTTTTATATATTTTTATATTTTACATAACTATTTTTCACGTTTCAGCTGATTCAGGCACCAGCAGTAAGTTCTTAACAAAATTATACTATTTTGCTTCGGTGCTTTGATTTCAAAGCATTGTTTGTTAGGTTTTATAAACATGTTTGTTTATCGTTTATAAGCTGATGATAAATTTCATGATAATATACATTTCTCAACTTGACGAGGTCAAGCAGTTTTAAAATTTGTTTACACCTTAAGAAGGTAGGAGAAAAGTGAAAGTCAAATTAGGTACCTAAGAAGTTAACAACAATAACAGCTATAAAGGATTGTTCGATTTATACAATTATATTTATTTTTTATGTTTCAGATACTACTGGTGATGTAAGCCATACCGTAATTATAGTTGGTACGTAATAAAATATTTTTTAGTATAATACACATTTTTAAGCATGCTTTTATTTTTTATAAGAACCGATAATTATTAATTTAATTTACTTGTTAAAGATAATTTAGTTTTAAAATATTCTTGCCCTTTCGTTGAGCGTCGGGCACAAACCACTTTTATTTCTTAATTTTTTTCACTTTTATTTTATAATATTTTTTTTTCGAGGATTTTGTTGGTTGATATTGAGTTTATAAATGCAGCGAGAGATAAAACTAACAATAAGTTAATTTTTTGTTTTCAATGTTTCAGACGACCCAAGCACACAACCACCACCACCGCCGCCAGATCCAGCCCAGGATGCACGTAATAACTTATTTTTGTGATAAATTTTACATTATGAGGTGGGAGTTATAAGAATACAACACAATTTTTGTTTGTTATTATCAAATAAGCATACATATTATTCTTGTATATAAAACAAAAAGAATTAACCGAAAAGTGAAAAGATCGTCCGAATAAAATAAATATAGATACTGCAAAGATTGCAAAATTAAGATGTTTTGAGGAAACGTCGACTGAAACCATTAGATCAGATCAATTAGACGTACGTATAAAGGCGATAAATATTACTAATATTTTGTGTAATATTGATGTGTTTTTTGTAATTTCCATTTTTTTTGTTATTGTGTTGTAGATTACTACTTCAGGGATGGATTTCGAAATAAAAAACGAGGGGGGGAGGTTCAATAACAAAGACAGGGTTATTAATTCTAAAAACTTAAATTTTCAACGTAAACATAAATAATCATCTTGTTGTTAGCTGGTTTTTTTGAAAGACACCTGTTATTATTTGTTTTAATTGCAACAGGCATTGTAAACTAGACATTCTGTAAATATGGATGATGTTAGGTCTTGTAGGTTATTCAACTTCTTTAGTACCTACATTGTCTAACTTGAAATCATAAAGTTTAAACGTCATCCATTGTTAATCTTTACACAATTATTGTGGATCTTAAACATGAATATCAGAAGCATCATTGTAATGTTATTCGTTATTTTGGCTATAACTACAGGTAATAAGCATAAACAAAAAGTTGAAAACAAATTTAAAGCCTAAAATGACTTAAATGCCTAAAATGTAGTACTGACTTACTTAGTGTTTGAACATTAATCCAAAAGTATTAGTGTTAAAAATAAAATTTTTCAATGTATTTTATTAGGTACAACGATTTAGTCCAGAAAATAAAATAGTTTTAGTTTATAGTCTAACAAATTAATTTGGGATATAGTAACTTAAATAAACAAATTTCCCTAAGTGAGAATCATAGGGAAATTTATATAATCACATGTGCACTGATTTTTTTATAGATTACACACAATTATTTTTCATGTTTCAGCTGTTATTGGGCCCGACCGTAAGTTTTAAATTAAATTGTACTATTTTTCTTAGATGCTATGATTCCAAAGCTTTGTTTGTTGTGACTTTAATACATTTGTGTTTTTCAGCTGACGGTAAGTTGAATGATAACATACATTTTTACACTCGATAAAGGTATTAGTATACTAGCGCAGTTTTAAAATGTATTATTTTATTTTTTACTTCTTTTTGTTTTAGTAGAACTATACAGCGGGCAGGCTTCTAAGTTTTTTTAAAGGCATACACAGCCAAAAAAAACAAATTATTTATATAGTTTGTTTTTCAAATTCTGTTTTCGCAATATTTTTTTTCATAACGTAGAGTATCAAAGTTAAATATAAAAATGATTTTTTTTTTTGTTGGGTTGTGTATGCCTTTAATATCTACAGGGTCATATGAATATATTTTCTAGTCGGCCTTAGTCCTAAATGAATTGTGTGTTATACTTTAATTTGTATACTAGCTGGTCATTTGTTTCTTTATAAATTATTTTACATTGCGTTTTTAAAAATGCCGTATTTATTTGGATATTTTGATCAGATTTATTAATTTATAATCTATAAAATATTATATGTGTTTATTTATATTTATGTAATATAATATAATATTCAAATATTATAATAGTCCTTCACTTTACAGTAGGTGTCATTATTATTTTTTTTTTAATTGAACTTAAAATAATAAATTTTTATAAGAGGTAATATACCGGGTGATTGGTTAACTATGGACCAGTCAATAACTTAGAAGATATTAGACTTTTTTTAATTATTTTTTTTTTATAATTTTATAGGTATTAGTTGGGACAAATTTAATATATTTTTGAAAAATATAACCCCATCCCTTATGTGTTAAAACTGTAGGAACTTAAGAATTTTAAATGCAAACGTATAGTTTTTATTAACTTTTTAAATTAAGAATAATTTGCTGAATATTTTGACTGGTCGATAACTAGTTTTGGATATTTAGTTTCAAAGTTATTAAAGTTTAAAATTTAGGACGGGTGGAAGGGTGGAGAGTAGAGATGTTTTTATCTGCGCGGATTACTCAACCACCCTTCCCCTCCCGTCATAACTTTTAAAATTGAATAACTTGAAAACTAATTATCCAAAACTGGTTATCGACCAGTCAAAATGTTCAGCAAATGTTTCTTAATTTAAAAAGTTAATTAAAACTATACGTTACCATTTAAAATTCATACAGTATTAATTTCATACAGTTTTAACATATAAGAAATGGGGTTATATTTTTCAAAAATATATTAAATTTGTCCCAACTAATAACTATAAAATTATAAGAAAAAATAATTTTAAGAAGTCTAATATCTTCTAAGTTATTGACTGGTCCATAGTTCACCAATCACCCGGTACAAATATCTCGGGGAAATTTGTATATTTGTACTCCATATTTTTTTTAAATAGATATATATATAGAAAATCTAATTATGTTTAATGTTTCAGCTGATTATGCACCCGACCGTAAGTTTTAAATTAAACTGTACTACTTTTCTATTGTGCTTTGATTCCAAAGCCTTGTTTGTTATGACTTTGATACATTTTTGTTATTCGTTTTTGAACATATTCGAATAATAATATAATATTTTATATATTATTTTTTTCGTGGATTTTGTTGGCTGATCATAAATTATAGAACGTAGTACGAGATATAACTAGCAGTATGTAATTTTTTGTTTTCTATGTTTCAGGAAAACCAGACACAACACCTGCACCACTCCCAAACCTACAAGGTAGGCCATATAATAACCTTTTTCTTTAGGAAAAATAAAACTTAAATAAACAAATTTCCCCAAAAAGTAATATCTCAGGGAAATCCGTATATTCGTACGCCTGTTATTTGTTTTTTTTATTTCTTTTTATATTTTACATAACTATTTTTCACGTTTCAGCTGATTCAGGCACCAGCAGTAAGTTCTTAACAAAATTATACTATTGCTTCGTGCTTTGATTTCAAAGCATTGTTTGTTAGGTTTTATAAACATGTTTGTTTATCGTTTATAAGCTGATGATAAATTTCATGATAATATACATTTCTCAACTTGACGAGGTCAAGCAGTTTTAAAATTTGTTTACACCTTAAGAAGGTAGGAGAAAAGTGAAAGTCAAATTAGGTACCTAAGAAGTTAACAACAATAACAGCTATAAAGGATTGTTCGATTTATACAATTATATTTATTTTTTATGTTTCAGATACTACTGGTGATGTAATCAATACCGTAATTGTAGTTGGTACGTAATAAAATATTTTTTAGTATAATACACATTTTTAAGCATGCTTTTATTTTTTATAAGAACCGATAATTATTAATTTAATTTACTTGTTAAAGATAATTTAGTTTTAAAATATTGTTGCCCTTTCGTTGAGCGTCGGGCACAAACCACTTTTATTTCTTAATTTTTTTCACTTTTATTTTATAATATTTTTTTTTCGAGGATTTTGTTGGTTGATATTGAGTTTATAAATGCAGCGCGAGATAAAACTAACAATAAGTTAATTTTTTTTTTCAATGTTTCAGACGACCCAAGCACACAACCACCACCCCCGCCGCCAGGTCCAGCCCAGGATCCACGTAATAACTTATTTTTGTGATAAATTTTACATTATGAGGATGGGAGTTATTAGAAAACAACACAATTTTTGTTTGTTATTATCAAATAAGCATACATATTATTCTTGTATATAAAACAAAAAGAATTAACCGAAAAGTGAAAAGGTCGTCCGAATGAAATGAATATAGATACTACAAAGATTGCAAAATTAAGATGTTTTGAGGAAATTAGATCAGATCAATTAGACGTAAACGTATAAAGGCGACACCGATTCAGGATGAAAGCTTGAACAAAAATAGAGACATAAAGCCATAGAGAGACAAATAGAGTCATGAAGAGAAATTAAAACGTTGAAGGTAGAACACGAGACTGCCGAAAGACAACGTCGTAAGCCATTTATAATTCAAACGCAGTAAATATTGAGATGTAAAAGAATAGGAAAATTATTAAGGTTCATTGAAGAATTTTGAGGAATTTATTTACATTATACAAGTATAAAGGAACTGTACTTAGTTACAAATTATATATTGTAATATAACACATTACTTTTGTTTTTTAGCCTGTAGTCTTTTTTAAGTGAGTAATTTTTAAGTGACTAGGACTTATGCTTTATGAGTTAAAATATATATATATCAAATCGGTTATTTTCTATGTAATAATTACCTATTAGTAATATTGCAAATATTAATACTACCTATATATATTACAATACTGACTAACATTATTTGGTTTAAAACAAACAATTATAATAATACCTAATATTTTTATTTTATAGTAACTGATTCAGAGTGGAGTTGCAATCATCGCTGAAAAATTTGAAAACTACATCACTGAAATACCACAGCTTCCATTCATATACTGAAAATTCATTTTTTCTAATATTTCGTGTAATATCAGATGTGTTTTTTTTTTAATTTCTATTTTTTTATCATTGTGTTTGTACCTACAAATTATATTAATAACTCATTTCGTGTAACCATTTTTTTTTTCTCGAGTATGTATTATACTACGTCTATTACTGTGTCATTAATTCTCAGTCAATAAAGTACATATTTACCGAATGAATAATGTTTACATCCGGTCTATTTTAAGTTTTTTTTACTACTTCTAAATACACCCCTAATTTTTTTTTGCTTCATCCTTAAACTTTTTTGTTCTTTTGTGTGGTCAAACTGGTTTTGGGAAATTTCCACGTTGCTGTGTGTGAGTGTCAATAGATAATGAAAATATTAGAGTTTATTTCAAAGTGATGTTATCACTTTCAGATATAATAGTAGACCTGTGACCTCCGCCGTATTGGCTTTTTTTTTCGACACCGTTTTATCGATTGAATATTTTACCAGTTCTTAATGTAAGTCGTTATCAGTCTTTTTCAATTAACCAATAGGCTACGGGCGGGTGGAATAAAAATCGTGGGAACGAAATGGCGTTTGTTTTTTGGTGGCGAGTGTCGAGCAAATACAAAACGTTGATGAGAGTACGCCTGTATGTGTAACATACAAACACAAATATCCCAGACATAGACCACCGGACGGTCAACAACACGGTATCCGATATTATTATATATTTTATCAACGGACAGGTACAATAAGGGTGTGTGTGTGTGTGTTTGTGTACATTTCATTATTGGGCTAAATTTACTATGGACCGTATAATTAATTGCACCCGTCACACGTAATTGAAACGGGGTTGATAGCAGAAGTGGCGTGTAGACTCGCCGGACCGTAGACCTGATGTGCGGACGACACGTATAGGTCGTACATATCAAATTCACACGGTCTAGCCGACTGAAATTCAATTACTAAAATCTGTTCGGATTTGTTCGCGTTAATTATTATTCCCAATCGAATCGAATCCGTCCGGATCGATGGTTTGAAACCATCAAGAAGGAAAATTAACACACAGATTTTCCAGAGGAAGCAGTATATGTAGTTTATTATGAATTTTGTAAGCAGATAACGGGCAGGACAACACGAAAAATGTGCACACTTGAAACCGATTGAATAATTTTTAAATTGTATTGTGATTTTGTACAGCGTCGCGCATTTTCCCTAAGCGGTGGTTCATCAATCAAAAGTGTTCAAGTCCCGCGGGGTTAAACCGACTCGGGTCTCTCGTTGACCGGAAGCTTTGAGCGTATGCAAACCGTTTCCGGTTTCACGGGCAATTTATCTTCGTCCCCGGTCCGCGACCGGATCTTAATAACAGATTCGATTAATCTCGTCGCACGCGCTTTTTCGCCGCCCTGGCCAGACATATTATTCGAAAACGCTTATTTTTTTTGGTTGGCAAAATGTAATTTTATGTCATAGATTTTTATACAATAATATGAAAAAAGCGTTTACAACGAGTACATTATTCCCGAGTGACTTTCGCGGTAAATATAAATTGGACTTAAGTTCATTCCGACACGGTTTATATATATATATGTGCATAATATAATATTGAAATAATAATGTGTGTTTTTCGAGCGTGGTGGTGGTGGTGCGTTTCAAAACGACGGAATTTATACCGTATTATTATTATTATTCTAAAGCCTTTAATGGCGAAATAATGTCTTTGGCGGGAAAATATTATTGTAGAATCACTGGCGACAAGTGATTTGCCCGTCAAACGGAATAATACATTGCGGGACGGCGACTTTGTTGTGCGTACAAATTCGTTTGCATGGTAAATTCCGAGTAAAGGCGACAAAACAGCGCCTCTTCAATTTGGTTCCACCAGTATATATATATGTATTGTGTGGATAAGATAATACACACCACATATATTCTATTGTAAAATAACAATATCGCGTTACCCGTTAAAAAAAACGGACGTCGAGAGTCAAAATCGAATTTGGCGGTCTCTTCTCGCGTTTGTCACATTGTACATATATTATCATACATAGGTACGATAATATTATTATTTAAAACGCGTTATTAACTTGATGTCAAAGCGTTGTCGCCGCCGCCGCCGCCGCGTTTGTGCGCATATAAAATAATATCATACTCGTGTAAAACAATATCGCTGTACCCTGAACATCACATATTATGTGCATTACATTATTATTATTATAATAACACCTCCTCGGCTTCTCCGTTCTTTTAACGGTATCGTTGCGCTGTATAATTGTTGCCAGTGTATACTTAAACGCGATTTCAACCCTTTTCCCCGGCGGCGGTGGTGGTAGTGGTGGTGGTGGCGGATATTGTAAATCCGGCGACTAATATACACACACGGCTCGTATAACTTGCCCGTAAATTCCTACACACAACACTTGAACGGGCTGCAACAATGTTGTTAATGGGACGAGTATAAGTGTAAGAGCACGAGTATAAATCCACCGACGGCAATAATAATTGCTCGTTGTCGTCGTCGCAGGTATAATAATAGTACTTAATGTAATAATATGTTCCCGTCAAGACGTACTGCTGCACGCCGACCGGGCCGATTGAGCCTGTGAGTTACGGCCCTCTGGATCCTTTGGCAGTGAATTTCCCTGAAAGTTCAACGCGTCTAATGTGCGTGTGTAATGAGGCCCGCTCCGCAGTAGCAGTGTAGCTTAGCGCTTAAACGCCATGTTAATCTATTAAGTATGTATAATATATGTTTTAACGCGTCCACGATCGTTGTTCTCGCTCGGTAAAAATATATAGTTCGACGCGAATTCCGGTACATATTATACTCACGACCGGGCGCGGATCCAAGATGATGGGGGGGGGGGGGGGAGAAGGGGCCAAAGAGACTTGGGCGAATATATTTTGAATATGCCAACGGTTAAGCCCTTTCGCTGGAAGAAAATCGAACGCGGCTATTTACAGAAAATTAAAATTAAAATCAATCCAGGTCCAGTGCAAACGGCACGTACCTGTTTACGTTTGAAAGTAGCAGTCTATAAGTAGAAATAAGTAATTTTAATAACGGTACGCTACGTATTTGATAACAAGAAAAACGATTAAAACTGCATTGCGCAGGCGGGTCAAGCATGTTATTAAGTATACTTGACACGTTCACTGTCAGATGACCCCTATGTGGTTCATGATTTATTTATAGACAAGTCCCTAATTTATTAATTAAATAATTAATTAAGTCCCTATCATCTCACCTGTCCAACGGTGTTATTATGAATTTCATAGAATATAGTCCATACAAATAAATCTCCAGAGAAATAAATGTTTGAAATGAACCACGTGTACCACATGAACTACTAAAATAGGTTTAACGTGACCCATATATGGATCATAGGACTGATAACTTTTGATTTAATTTAACATTAGGACAGTGAACGTGTTAACTATAACTATTATTTGATATTGATTAAAATGCTTTTCGCGTTTGCTTTTATACGACGAGGTACTTTATTGCTGGAAAACCCAGTTAATCAACGAGTAGGCGAATTGGCGTCATCTGTAAACAGTATTGGTGAAAAGTTTAATAGTAAAAACCTGTAAGAAAACTTTGTCTTCCTGAAAATACATACAATTTTATTCTCAATAACAAATTGTATTAATAATTGTTTTTTCTCGTACCGATGCAAAACATTTCGATAAATTGAATAACAACCGTATTCTGTTATCCATTATGTAATTATACTCACACTTAGTGTTCTACATAACATTGTCAATTTTATTATTCTTATAAGATATAATATTATTTTTATACACTACATATTTTACAAATCAAAACTTTTATTTATGTTTTTTGTTTTATGTTATTACTAATTAAACGGTTGTATTTTTATGAACGTTAGTTAAAAATATTTTATTTTGGATCAAAATTTACTAACCAAAATTTAATCCAATATTTTTAAAGAGAAACTAGTTTAGAGAAACTAGGGATACCAAATTGAGAAGAAAAAGTACAAAGCCGAGAAGAGTGGAAGGAGGTGTCGGTGGCGGCAAAAACTCTTGAAGAGTTGTTATGCCAATGAAGAAGAAGAAGATAATTTTTAATTTATAACCATGACTTTTATTTAACAGCTAAACATAAAATATATGTAAACATTTTTTAATACTTATTTTAAATTAAAATTTAAGATTTACAAAAATGGATGCTTGTGACCATTTTTCAATAACTATATTTAACATTTAGAGGAAGTTTTACAACACTGAAACTACAGGTAAAACTCTACTTGAAAATCTCTTAGCAATTACCATTAAACATTTAAATAATTCATTAGCGATCGAATTACATCAAAGTTGACACTTTTTAAAGCATCACTGAGCTTAAAAAGGAAAGCACGTGTGTTTTTCAGATTAGTGCGTTTAATAATTAACTTTTTATTTAATGTTCTTTGATCCATACGGGAGGTGGGCTGCTTATATTCTGGGCTGTCTAAAACTATTGGATCGGTCGCATTGCATTTGAGGTAATAAGTAATCGAATGCAGTATATGCTCGAGTTCGTAAATAATTTTCACTATACTGTCGTTTTCCTTGATGAGGTCACTTATAGCGTTTCGCAGATACAACATGTGTGGATCGCTTTGAAGACTTAATATTCTCCCGAAAATTGCCAGCATGTTGTACAATTTGTACAAATAAACAACTCGGCTATTACCTGCGTAATCTTTGGCGAGCAACAAATTTGTCCACATTAACCGGAACATGATGGTTTTCAAAAAGTCCAAGTTCACATCGTAGTACATTTTAATACAGCTTTTCCAAAACTGGTTGACGGGCCAATCCATGTTGTGCGCATTGTCCCAAGCGTTATGCAGTGCTGTATGAGTGCCGTGCCAATTCACTTGCACGTTGTGCGTAGTTATCAAGCGATGTTGGACTTCAATTTTAGAACCTAGATTGTTCAAGAAAAGTTTATTAGCTCTCAATCCGGCATACCGTGTTCCGTAGGTCCTTTGTGCGTTGTTCATCGTCAACAATTTTTGAAACTCATCAGAGTTACACTTTACTCCCTCTTGTATTAGATGCAAATCGTGTTTACCGTTTTGCATATACTTGACTGCAAATGCTTGCCAGTTTTCATACGAGTCGAACTTGTTACCTTCTCGGCAATCGGCGGATTCCTCTTGTAGTTTGTCGATAACGTAATTATGATTGTCCAAAAGGTTCTCGATGGCCGTTATTTTTACTTGTCCCTCACTGCGAAGAATCAACTTGTGATAATAAGCTTGTGATATACACTTGTACAAGTAATATATCCACAACGAACCAATTATGTCCTCGTTGAACACGTACAGTGTACATATCATCGCTCTGCTTTCAAAATGGTTTGTCATGTTTACTGGCACGCCTGTCGGTATATGTTTGTCTTCCAACAATAGTTTTGTCAGTCGCATATGTGTCAATACGGTAAACAGGTACGCGCATTTCAAATCTCTATAGCGATCATCGATTGTGATGTGTTGTGTTGTGTTGTAACTATAACCAGTTTCCAGAGATAGCACTGACTGGCTTAAAAAGATCATTAAGCTCAAGATGATGAACAAACTCGAAAACGTCATTTTGTCTACGATCTGCCTTGTCTAACACTTATTCTTACTTAAAAGTGTTTTTTGGTTCGAAACCCGGAGCACTGAATATTTATTCGTAGGACCGGCTTGTTTCTATTGTAATATTAAGTTAACAAATGCGTAAAGGTAACCAAATATGTTTTTTTTTTTTGTTTTTTATCGACATACAGCCGTGTATACTTCATATGCGTCATTCTGATACCAGTTGTTTTCCGTGTAGAGCCTGAAAACGGTATAGTTTTTAAAACTATAGGTTTTTATTAAAGATATATATTTTTCAAGTTCATTCATGTGTTGTGCCTAATAATAAGTAAATTTTTTTCAATTAGTTTGTTACATTTATATATCTTTCCTTAAAGTTAAAAAATGTACAGGACCAATCGGCGACGTTAATATTCCCAAGACCGAGAATTTATTGGGAATTCTTATTATTTAAAATTCTTACAAGTTATAAGAATTAACGTTATTAGTTATAACGTAACAAAAATCGGCTCGTTTAAACGGCACGTACCTGTTTACGTTTGAAAGTAGCAATCTATATGTATATCAATAACGAAGCTAAATATTTGAAAACAAGAAAAATGAATAAAACTGCATTGTGCAGGCGGGTCAATGCATTAGTCAATCGTGCGTTATTAGTCTTTATTGTAATTTCCTGTACAATGATAACAAGCAGTCTGAAATTCAACAAAAACAAACATGTTATTAAGTATACTTAATTTTAAACTATTATTTTATATTAATTAATTAAATCTTTATCGCGTTTGCTTTTATTCGACGAGGTACTTAATTATGGCTGGGAAAACCAGTTAATTAACAAGTACGCGAATTGGCGTGACCTATGAACAGTGTTGACGAAAAGTATGATAGGGAAAACCTATTAGATATCTTTGTTTTCCTGACAATTCATCAAATTTTTTTCTCAATCTTGGTATTGTTATTAATAATTGTTTTTTTAACAACATTTCGAGGAAATAAAGGTTAAACAATACATTTTCACGCGGGTAATAATATTTGTGGATTTTTTTAAAATCATCTTTTACCTGAAAATGGAATATACTTAAATGACACTAATATTTCATAAATGATTCCTAAGCATTTAAACTGTTGTGATAATGTACCTGAAATTCTAGTACCGCCCATAAAAATGTGTAATTAATTTAGTTTAGACAATGTACTGTAATTTTATTAATTAATGAGTATAAAAAAAACGTGTATTGGTTATGGTCCAAAGTACGGATTCAATAACTTTATCTACACCGTGTAACGATCATACTTCAACTGACCGTTACTTGTCGCCCAAAACCTACTTACTCAGCACCCTATATAATAGGCAGGGAACTCGGTAGGTTTCGGCAAGCCTACGACTAGCTGTATTATTTCAAGAAGCTTCAGTGTGTCAGAGAACCTACAGTGCGCGAACATGATGAATCTCAAGTGTATAATTTATGTGTTTGGAATATTTTTGTTTAACAAAACGTTTGCTGACCGGTATACAGCAGATTATATACTTCACTCGGAAGGTAGGTGAACTTATTAGTACCTATTAGTTTGTTGACATTGGGTAAAGTTCTTTTTACATATTCTACATTATACTGGAAATATTTTATTTTTGTTCTCAGTGGATTTTGACATCACAGTCGTTTACAGACTACGAGGAAACTCCATAAACTCGGTTAAATGTATAATTGATATTCTTTATTGACATAATATTTTCTATTTCACCCTTAATCGTTTTTATTTTTACAAAACAATATCCAAATCAGGTGCGAGGCCGGATCAATTTTTCGACGATTTCAAGAATTACGGATGTGATGGTGGCGAAGTTCATTCCAGGACTAACGCTATTGGTGTTCCGATCACATTTAATGGAAGAGTTTTGAGGTCGAAGAACAAAGACCTAGAATTCATTGTAGACTCGCATTACCGTGGAAATTATTTTACAAAAAATCACGTCGAGTACGACCCGTTGTATTGGAATATCTGTTCAACGTACGAGAAATGGATACCTTTCATAGGTTTCGAAACCAGTAAGTAAACCCAGTTAAGGCGGTAAGTTTTAATCTGCTAACCAACCAAAAAGATAAACACACAATTTTTAGATGTACACAGTTCTTTCGTTTTCAACTCGTTGACCGTTGTTGACACTACCTGATGGGTAGATTTACATTCAATGCGTATCGATTATCACTATAGATCTTATAGTTATACATCCTCCATAAATACTTTTTAACACGAGAATACAATTTTAAAACAGGACAGGCTGCAGGAAGTCTGTTACAGAACAACATACTAGGTCATTCGAGCACGTTTAATATCAGTTGGACGCCAAAAGAAACCGCTAAAGGATGTGTATCAATAACATATAGATCAGACAGCTGGTCCGAGGATTATAAACATTTAATGATTTATGAAAGAGGCAATAGTGAGCCAATTATATCACATAAACTAAAAACTACGACACGACCTCAGGTACGATTGTTTATTTATACTATTTAATAGAAATTGCACGGATATAAATTTTAAAAAATGTGTTAAACAAATAAAATTCAATAAAAGGCCTTTGTCTGTTTTTGACAAATACTATGGTTTATTTTTTAATCATTGATCATTTACGGTGAATGATCAACTTGGTGTTGACAAATACTGAATACAATTAAACTACTATATGAGTAGCGCATGTAACACAAAAATGAAATTAATTTTTTTCCGATTTATGGTTTTGTTGTGCCTAATAATATAGGTATATGTTTATTTTTTCAATTAGTTTGTTAAGTTTACATATCTTTCCTTTAAGTTAAACAAATTTACAGGACGAATCGGCGACGGTAATACTGCGAACCGACAGCTTGTTTTTAGAAAATTCAACTTATGATCTGGTTATAAGTCATCCCAAGACGGTTTTCAAAAAAAGGTTTGGAATCAAAAGAATAGCTGATTGCAATAATGGTAAATACTGTGTAGATATCAAATGTAGGGTACTAATGCTCTTACATAGGCTATACATACTCCTAGAGGAATATTTTACATATTATTAGTCAACTGTAATAATTTAATATTTATCTGTTGATTATTTTAGAAGACGGAGACATTTATGAAATATCTGCAAGTGAAATTAGATCAAGTAAAATTCATAAAGCCAGCGCTTATTATTTAAACGGTAATTGCAAGCGATCACTGTTATGTTAATTTACAATAATACATTTTTGAATTTCGATAGGTGCTGAGCCAAAGGATTCGGTGTATTCTAACAAAGGTATTTTTTAATTTTTAGTAGGTACACATAGCCAATACGGTAAATTGTGTGAATCAATTAGTTTATTGATATTTCAGAGTGCGGATTAAACAGATTTGGAGCCGACTGTTCCGGAATATGCTCGACGCGGAACATGGAGTTTTGTAAGCTTAAGCTATTTTGCACTTCACGTTATGGATGCTCGTGTGCACCTGGCTATACTGGACGTTTTTGTGACGAAGGTAAACATTTGATTAGCATTGTATGTGTTTGTCCGGAGTTAAAGCACTTGATTATTAAACGTTCCAGATTGTCCGTCAGGAACGTTTGGTCGTGATTGTCAACAAACGTGTCCCAAAAACTGTCCAAATGCATGCGACGTCTTTACGGGCGTGTGCCTCAGAGGGTGCGAACAAAATCCACCAAATTGCCCAGAAAGTACATAAATTCAGCCCAAAAACACATAATTTGATATATGCAACTAGCAACAGATTATGTATATTTAAAATAAAAAACAGACGATAACACATTGTGTACTTATTTATGTCCAATAAAAAATTAATATCAATCTACCTGTTGATTTAAAAAAATGTTGAATGTATTATATGTGATTATTAAAAAGCAGTATAATTTTATTAAAATGATAACAATAATATTATACAAATGATTAGAATATTCTCATATGGGAAATTAACTTTCACACAGTGAATTATATATGTATGTATCTTCTAATCTCCATATAAAAAACGAGTTATTTGCGAAAAACTGATTTTTGTTGACAAAGCGCGCTCTAGCTGTGCTAGCGTTCATACAATATTAAGTAACTTTTAGTATGTTACTAAAGATCTTTCAGAAAAAAGGGAATAAATGTAATAGAGTAAGAAGAAAAGTAAAGAGACTAGATACTATGAGTAGAGATAACTTGACTAATTTAACAATATATTTGACCATAGAATATAAGTTTTAAAAATATTATTCATTAAGTATGGTTTCAACACATTCATAACCGTGTTCTGTTTTGCATTATGTATTATGCTCACAGTGTTTTACATAACATTGTCAATTTTATTATTTTTATAAGATGTATTGTTTTTACACGCTACTAATTTTACAAATCAAAACATTTATGTATGTTTTTTGTTTTATGTTATTACTATTTAAATGGTTGTATTTCCATGAACGGTAATTAAAAAAATATTTAATTTTAGACCAAAAACAAAATTAAATCCAATACTTTTAATAATTCATAAACATGAGTTTTATTTAACAGTTAAACATAAAATATATATAAACACTTTTTGATACTTATTTCAATATGTATAATAATATAGTAAGTACAACATAAGTACTTACTTAACAGGTTTTACAGAAATGGCTGATGACCGTTTGCAGTAACTATATTTAAAATTTACTTGAAAGCCCCTTAGTAATTAATATTAAACATTTAAATAATTCATAAGCGACCGAACCACATCCAAGTCGACACTTTCGAAAATAAGTCTGAGCTCGGACAGGAAAGCACGTGTGTTATGCAGATAAGTGTGTTCGATAATTAACTTTTTATTGAATGTTCTTTGATCCATACGGGAAGTGGGCTGCTTATATTCTGGGCTGTCTAAAACTATTGGGTCGGTCGCATTGCAATCCAGGTAATAAGTAATCGAATGCAGTATATGCTCGAGTTCGTATATAATTTTCACTATGCTGTCGTTTTCCTTGATGAGGTCGCCTATAGCGTTTCGCAGATACAACATGTGAGGATCGCCTTGTAGACGTAATATTCTCCCGAAAATTGCCAGCAAGGTGTTCAATTTGAGCAAATAAATAACTCGATTTTTACCTTCGTAATCTTTGGCGAGCAGCAAATTTTTCCACAATAAGCGGAACATGATGGTTTTCAAAAAGTCCAAGTTCACATCGTAGTACATTTTAATACAGCTTTTCCAAAACTGGTTGACGGGCCAATCCATGTTGTGCGCATTGTTCCACGCGTTATGCAGTGCTGTATTAGTTCCGTGCCAATTCACTTGCACGTTGTGCGTAGCCATCAAGTGATGTTTGACTTCCAATTTAGAACCTAGATTATTCAAGAAAAGATTATTAGCTCTCAGTCCGTCATATTGTGTTCCGTAGGTCCTTTGTGCGTGGTTCATCGTCAACAATTTACGAAGCTCATTAGAGTTACTCGTTATTTCCTCTTGTATTACATGCAAGTCGTGTTTACCGTTTTGCATATACTTGGCTGAAAATGCTTGCCAGTTTTCATACGAGTCGAACTTGTTACCTTCTCGGCAATCGGCGGACTCCTCTTGTAATTTGTCGATAACGTAATTATGATTGTCCAAAAGGTTCTCGATGGCCGTTATTTTTACTTGTCCCTCACTGCGAAGAATAAACTTGTGATAATAAGCTTGTGATATACACTTGTACAAGTAAAATATCCACAACGAACCAATTATGTCCTCGTTGAACACGTACAGTGTACATATCATCGCTCTGCTTTCAAAACGGTTTGTCAAACCTACTGGTAAGCCTGTCGATGTATGTTTGTCTTCCAACAACAGTTTTGTCAGTCGCATATGTGTCAATACGGTAAACAGGTACGCGCATTTCAAATCTCTATAGCGATCATCGATTGTGATGTGTTGTGTTGTGTTGTAACTATAACCAGTTTCCAGAGATAGCACTGATCGGCTTAATAAGATCATTAAGCTCAAAATGATGAAAAAACTCGAAAACGTCATTTTGTCTACAATCTGCCTTGTCTTACACTTATTCCTACTTAAAAGTGTTTTTTGGTTCGAAACCCGGAGCACTGAATATTTATTCGTATGACCGTTTTGTTTCTATTGCATTCTATTAAGTTAACAAATGTGTAAAGTAACCAAATATGTTTTTTACCGACACAGCCGTGTGTACAGTTGTGTCATTCACATACCAGTTGTTTTCTATGTAGAGCTAGAAAACGGTATAGTTTTTAAAACTATGGGTTTTTATTAAAGATATACATTTTTCAAGCTCATTCATCTATAATATTAATTTTATACTGCACAGCATTTTGTCGGCGGCACATGTGAATGTAAAATCACTGCATACGCTAAAAAAAAAAATGTAAAAAAAAATTGTAAAAAAATGCAAAAATTAACCTGTTGGTCATAGCGGATCCGATCTCGTGGTCAGAATTGTTACTAAGGAAATCAAAGTCCTAGTCAACAGCTTACACCGGTAGCCCTACGGCTCAGGTTGTTTATTTTGATTGATTTTAATCTATTTAAAGAAATTATTTATATATATATATTTATATATTTTGTACATTTTTAAAATCCAATAACATGTACCCACAAAAAGCAAAATCGGAATATTGATATGTTCAAAATGTTTTACTCGAGAATAATACTAAACTGTATTATTACATTTTAAAAATATTTAAATTATTATATTTTTTACAAAATTGTTATGTGATATTTTAGATACATTACGTTTAAAAACGTTTGTTTTTAAGCGTTTTTATTTTTATGTCCGGGCCCACCATATCTTCCTAATCAAAAAAATCGGTCTCAGAATAATCAATACATATTTTCCCACTGTAACTTAAGTTTTGAAAATATCGTTCACGAATCGTTGCAGCGGTTAGCTGTATGCGAAATGGGGAATTGACTTGAAAGATAATAAAACAGCACGGCCACCGTCCATCCCGGCTGTCGGTCATCGTTTAACCGCGTTCAAAAGTAATATTATATAATATATCCGGGAACAATCCGGGATTTACTACAACGCGGTATACATATGTATACTGCACATGCTAGAGCGGCCCCCGGGCCAAAAACAAATCATTTTGTTAGCTTTTTAGCGTCGGAGAAGAAGATTTCTCCACGGTCGTGTCCGCGTTCCTTGCTGCTGCTGCAGGATACAAGGTGAGTTCCCGGGGGACTGCGAACATAGCTCAGAGTAATATTTTATAACGACGTATTGATGGTCGAGGGTCGTTTGTCGTCCTCTGTACTTATCCTCATCGTGCCAGTGTGTAAACACACGCACAGCAAAATATCGAGCTTATCTCTTCTATGTATATATATTATTTATACATTTATCTATATTTGTGTATATATCATATGTATACCGGCAAGCAGTAGTTTTGTAATATTTGTATGGAATTCCTGGGGGATGGTTGTTTTTTTTCTTCTTTCCATTCCGCCGTCCCTTTCTCTGGTCATCTGCCCCGAGACGTGATTCACTCGGCCTTATCATGAGAAAAAAAAAAAAAATCCCAAAGAGATTTATTCCGCAGTCGTATTAAAGTGTCGTTTGAAGTGGTTTGCCAGCATATAAAGTTGTATTCTCTCCGAATAAATCTTAACAATGTTCAATCATGTCGGTTTAGAACACAATAGGTGAGGTATTATGCTTTATATTATGTTATTGCCCGAAGCGACGCGTCTCGTTGGTAATATAAATAAGATATCTATATTGAATGAATACTATTATTATAATATAAAACCACTGGCCACTGTCTCGTCGTGTGTGAAGCAACCCCTAAATGCAAAAACAAAATTTGATTTAATTTTTAACGAAACGTCTTGAATGATGGACGACTTTGTATTTATTTTTCTAAACGTACTCATATTGTTAATTTATCTAAATCTTAAACTCCATCATTAAGATATTTTTCAATACAATTTTAATATTTTTTGTATTTTATTACTAATAAAGTAGTATGTCGATTTCGGTTTCGCATTTTTTTTTCCATTAAAAATTATGCAGTATGTACTTAGTTCCGTGGCCCTTTTAAAAAATTAAAAAAAAATTTTATTTTTTCAACGGTGACATAAAACATTAGTGTTACAAGCATAGAACAATGTGCAAGCTTCAATCCTTTTGTCGTGAATATGTGCAGATGGGAAGGATGAGAGATGTACTGATTATTATTATTGTAACAGTATAATTTTAAGGGTGCATAACTAATATTTTTAATTACACTATGAGAACCGACGCGTTTTACACTTTCGTCCGAGATCAAATAACGCGTTTTACTCAATAAAACAACGCGTTAAAATAAAAGTATACACCTACTGCGAAATCCGCCTGACTAATTGAGATTACATTAACAAATGTGTACTTAGGAAGTCGGCGCTCGTTAATATGGACATAAAAGCACTGGGAATAAAAAGGAAATATAATACGAACTATCCGAGTAAAAACTTCATTAATTAAAAACATTAACAGTGACACAACGCAGAGTAAGATGATACTCTACCGCGACTGCATAATATTCTTAGTATAATAATAATCAGTCTCTTGTTTAACTCTTTTTTTTTTTTAAGAGTTTCACTTATTTTTCTTATTACCCCAGGCTCAAGACAATATTCATGTAAAGATAATATATGTTTAATTTATCTGAATAACAATATTTTTAAAATCAAGTGTACTGTTTACTAAAATACAATGTTAATAAAATGCACTGATTGACGGCCAGCAGCAGAGTAGTAATTCGAGAAGTCTACAAAATTGAAACAGTTTAAGACATGATGGGATGAAACTATTCAAGACAACATTTAATACATTTTATAAATAAACATTATATTTCAATTAACGCCAATTTCAAATATTATTTGTAAGCAA